CGTGTATCTATACATCTATACCTACTAAAGTATAATAATAAATAATCTTAAATTACCATGTTAGATAGTTCAAGTTATATTGAGTGATTCACAAAGCATACCTCCGCTTATCGTTTCATTTATTTCTTCAAATTTTGGTTTTTGAAGTTTTGAAGTATTTTTAAGACCATAGTTTTAAATACTTAGATTTTTCTAAACTGTTTAAGGACTAAGAAAAGTCCCGTGACAATACGAAATCTTTTTTCAAACAATAATTCCAATTTTTTCCTGCATATTACTAATGAGTTCATTTTGATAAAACTAATTGACATTTTTAACGATTTTTTTCTAAGTTATTAAAATATACCTGTATACCTATTGTAATAATAATAAGTCCTTAAACACAGTTAAAAAAAAATATAAAATATAAATGGTACCTAATATCTATATATCTATATTAATGTATTCCTATGGTTATTATTATACTTAAACAATTTTTAGAAATATTATAAAATATGAATTGATTAAAATAAATGAATATAATTTCCATATCATCATATCTCCATGTATTCCAAACCTATAGTTTTCAAAAGGTTCACAAAATTAATAACTTAAAACACAACTTTCAAAAAAAAATCATCTGCTTAACAATTTATAGAAAAACCAGATGATTCTCGTTTGAAAAAAAAGAACACAGGACAGTTTCTTAAATTGTATTAATAGTCTTTATAAATAGACTAAGTACTTGAAAACATTGTCCTTAAGTAAACTACAAAATGAAAAAAGTCAAAATGTTTATAAATTCAGTATAGGAAAAATAGGGATGAGCGTGCTTACTGAATAAAGGCTTGTAGGTACATAAAGTATTTTTATAAATTGCAATATAAATAACTAATCATATTTACAAAAAACAACACTAATTAATATTTCTTGTTATACATTTTTTGTATGTCCTAGGTTAAAATACAAAAAAAAAAATACTTTTTAATATCTAAAACATAGTGTTTGGTGTTCTTTGGAAAAAATAAAGCAGCAAAAGCCTGGGCCTCTATAGATGATAACAAATTACGTGTTAAATGTAATTTCAATTACTAATACAATTTTTAATTTAAATGATTTTCCGTGTTCGAATACAATGTTTTTCAAAAATGTTTGTCTTCGAATTAAACTTTGCTTTCAGCTGTAATTCTTTGATTTATATTTTTAAATAACATGCAAACTAACAATCAATGCCTTAGTAATTTTGAAGGAAATTGAGTATAAATATGATTTCTTGACTAAAAATTTAAAAATTCGTAATTTTTTTTGTAAAAACTTCGTAGGGGGGAATGTGGTCGGAACCCTAAACCCCCTGGTTACGGCCTTGCTAACAATATAATTTTTATGATTTTTAAATAAATATATTTATTGCAATATTATTGAACTATGTATTGTATTTTTGAATTTAGTATACCTACACGTTATCATTTATATTACGACATAGACATTAAACATTGTGCGAGGAATTTCCTTGGATTATAATGAATAGGATTTATTATGATTTATATTGGTAGCTAAATTTCAAATATAATATGGGAATGCCGGTGACCTCGTTTCAAATGAAACTCGGGGTAAAATTATTGTAACATATAATTCAACCACAGCGGTTGCGTGCCGGCCTATGTGCCGAGGGCAACTTATTGATTTTCACCTGGCTGCCAGGGACCTAACTGACTGCGCCACTCCGCATACAAAAATTACACCGTTCTGCGCCGTGTTTGCTTTTTTGAACCGCACATTCTTGCGCTTCACAATGTAACCGCCAATTTCAACCTCCGTGGAGTAGGTAATTGCACGTTAGATAAACAGACCAATCTATTTGATTGCATGAAATGTATTTAATTAAATATAGGTAACCATATGTCACACCACTTACCTAAGTACCTAACTGCAGGGTATTTTTAATATTCGATAAAAAATCTGCAGATATGTAAACTAATACTTCATAATTGATAAATATTTCGACCCCTATTCATTGGAGAATTTGCTCTATGACTCTATGGGACAAAAGATCTCAAAACTATAAGTAAACACATAATTTAAGTCAGAATTAAAATTAGATCACAATATATTATGCATCTTGAATTAAGATACCTACTATTTTTTTAAATTATTTTTTTTCTAATTATCATATACGATAATTATTATATGCATTACCTATTTTTGTGCAATAAGTATAATTTTTGAAGAGACTATAAAGTTGAAAAACGATTTTGTCTGAATTATATGTACTTATAGTTAGTTTAGTTACTATTGTTTGTAACAATGAATATCTATTTACATATTTTATTTTATTTAACACTACAATTATTACCTTAATTATTTACTTTTTGTATTTTTTTTTTGTGTATTCATTTTTCAAAGACGAATAAAATATATTTGATGTGAGTGAAACTTTACATTTTTTCATAAAATTTAAGCGTATCTACTATCTATTCGGGTATTTATACAAGCTATACTAACTGCATACCTACCTACCTATACTGTATTATATAGTAGAAGTATAATAATAACGATATTTTATTTTATATGAATTTCTATTATCCCTTACTATATTTTTCCAATTTAAACACAGGCTACAGTACCTAGTATATGGTACTATTTTATTAAAATATTCATGGCATTTTGTAAATTTTTTAAAGTGTTGCTTTAACAGTATAAATATTTAAATAAAAGTAGTGAATGAACTGACATTCAAATATGCTCAAACTTATTAAGGAAATATTTAACTAAACAACATAAAATATTATGAAAGTAGGTAGGAATATGAATAAATGAATGACAAATTGTACGTTTTAAATAATGTCTTTGACTTTGCCACTTTTTGTCCATGCAAAGTTTTAAACACTATGTTAAAAATGTACGTATTCTCTGTAGTAAGTACCTAGTTAGTAAACTGGGTAAATTATTGTTTTGGATGAGTGACAGAAACTCGTAAATTAGTGCAAGTTGTAGGCACAGACAGAAGACAAATTGTATAAAAATCGAGAACTTATTTCCCCGTTGTACACTTTAGCATGATTCTATATTATTTTAATTTTAAATTTTAAATGTTTAAATCGTATATATTGAGTCACATGACATCAGAAATATGTTTCTGAAATAAAATCGGTTTATACATATAGGGGGATTCTTCAAACATGGTCACCCTTTTTTTTTCAATAATACAGTTAGTCAAAATCTGTTTTTGAGAAGTTTTAAATATACTTTAAGACCATATTTTGAAGTTTTAGGTATATTTTTACTACTTCAAGAGTGTCTTGTAAGCTTTTGTTTTCAAATTTTAAATCTATAGTAAATTATTTAGCAGATAATTGTACTAAAAAAAATAATTCCATGATAATGGGTTTGGAAGATATTTGGGCTATGATGATTTGAAAACTTTAATAATTTATATAATTAATCTATCTTAATAACTATTTCTAATCTTTAGAAATGGTTAAATATATAATAAATATTAGATTCAAATACCCATCAAACCTATCTTATATATTTTTTAAACTATTTTTAAGAACTATCTATACAGTAAAAACTTTTTTATAATTGAGATAAAAAATTATCCACTAAATAATTTACAGTAAAAAGTTGCAACTCTTATTTAAAAAAACAGGAATTTGTATCAACACAGGTCATTCCTTAAGTAATACAAAAAATATCAATAATATTAACATTTTAAAAATTTTATTTAAAAATTTTAAAAATCAAAATTTGAATAGATTCATCATTAAAGGAAAATATGGTGTGAGCAATGAGCATGCTTGGTGAATCATCCTTTAAAGTACAGTCAATCCAAAAATATCATATGCTGTGACTTCTGTGGCACTCAGTAAACTTATTTTAAATTTTATATTATTAGTTACCTATAATAAATTTATCGTATTTTTAAAGTTTTCAACTATACATCTTCACATTCAATTGTATCGAAACATTCGAAAAGCGTGATTTTTATTTGAAACCCTTAAGAATTAATTACATTAAAAATTGTAATACCAAATTAAAAATTGTTAAATATCAGGAACTATATTACTATTTCTACATGGAAATGATAAAATTAATACCAGATTAATACGTTAATGAATAAATATTCTTTATTGAAGAGTAGGTACGCAAATAAAAAAACAATTCTACATAATATTATATTAAACGAATGATTCATTTTTAATATGATTACAAATATTATTAGTTTAATTCAATTTATTCTCAATTATCATTTGGGAATATATGATTTATGACATGACGTCTACCTGTACCTGCACACTTTACAGTGTTTGTAATCAAAATTAATGGAATTTATTTTGGGGAATGGACTCTTTGTTTGACGAGGGCGCTTTTTGTTTGCTATCGTGGGATGCGGCACCACGTGTTTTCTATTAGACTGCTGCGGTGGAAAAACCTACCCAGGGGAGTTTTATGATTAAACGAAAACATTCAAAAGAAAAAAACAACAGTGACTAGAAAATTAAACTTACTTTATTCTTCAACCATATCAAAAAACAATCGAATTATGGCTAAGAACCCGAATCATAAGCACAATATAATAGTTACTAACATAACAAACATAATATAAAAACAATTTTTTTTTACCAACTATAAAAAATAGATTGAATGTCAATTTATAATAAAGACCATCCATATTGACAATACTGGCCCACCTACTTCTCTTAATATTAGGTATTAACTTATAAAAATATATTATTGCATAATTTGTATTACTTTTATCTATCAAAGTAAATTTAATATATTAATGAAACTAACCTTAAAATGTAATTGATAATAATTATTATAGATCGACAATAATTAAATTATAGAATATTTTGTTGTAATTTTTGACATAATAAAGATTGGATTTAAATTAAATAAACTAGTTATAATTTTATTTTATACACACGGAAATAAAAATATTAAAATTAATTTATACATTTTACGCACTGTATAAAATTATTATTAATTGTGTACCTACTTCATACATTTTTATTTTTCAGACAAAACTACCAAAACTCCCAGTGCCTTTGCTGGAACGTACTACGAAACTATATCTGGAAACGCTGAAACCAATTTTAAATGAAAAACAATACGAACATGCTAAAAAACTAGTGGCAGATTTCACGAGTGGGCCTGGTCCAATGTTGCAAGAAATATTAATCGAACGCAGAGAAGAACATGACAATTGGGTACGTGGAATCGGGAATACCGATAGTATTATGTTTAGTATGAGTATAGAACTTAATGCGAGTTGGGCTCGCTGAATTGTTATTGTTATTACTATTATCGCAGTGGCGTAGGCAGAGAGGAGGGGCAAGGAACAATGTCTGGAATCTCTCTGCAATCGTATTTTTATAATTTTTTTTATAAAAGTATATCCTTATTGTCTATACAAGAGTATCTTATGACAATATGTATATAATATGATAATGATATAGATAATTAATATAATATGGTGATATACATTGATTACTATTATTCACAGATAATAATTGTATTTATTATCTATACCTAGCTGTGGTAGTAAGGTTAAGTAGTAAGGTTGTTTACACTCGTGACTGTGCAAGCCGTCCAGTTGGACATACGTCTGTCGAAAATACACGATAATTTAAACTACTGTTGTGTTACAGAAATACAGAATATATGACATTTCGTCTATTCTGTGGTCGTGCGATGTCCACTCGTTTATTTCGCCCCCGACCCTTTTATAAATCCTGGCTACTCCACCGTGTTATTGTTATTATCGTTATATAAAAATATTAAATTCATGGTAATAATAAAATAAAAAATTCTAAGCGATTTTTATTAATACTTTGGGTTTGGAACAGTTGATTGCCGAAAGGGTATAAATCATTTTACAACATATCAAAGTAAAAATATATGTAATTCAGATCACGTGAACAATAATGGAGTAACGAACGCCCTGGAGTTTCCATATACGAATTGGGGAGAGCGCCAGAGAGGGACACACTTTTCGGTTCCGGGAGAAAATCCAATTAGTAGAAAACGTGACGAGTCTGTTTCTATGATGAGTTTTCCCGGCGGGCCGAGAACCCTTCTAAAAACGAGATAAGCGGGAATTTTATTCACACTGCAACGCTGATTGGTTAAACATCAATTTTGGTTTTGATTCCTACATTCGAATAATCGAATAATGTTTTCGTATAGGTATAATAATATTATTATTTGGTCACGCACACGCTTACGGGTAGATAGGTACCTCGAGGGTTATAATATAGTACGTGTACGGTGTACAATTATAAGATAACGATCATACTACGAATCCGAAAATAAAAAATTGCACAAAAATTGTGTTGTATGAACATAATATATTGTATCTTTCGGACCCGACGAAAGCCATAAGTGCCAAAACAAGAAAATAAAATTAATCGTATATTACAAAAACACAAAAATCCCAAATACATGTGCGCTTCGTGACATATTATTAAATTTCGAACTTTTTTTTAATTTTTATCGACGACGCCGCCGAAACTGTTCGTACATTACGTCGACAGTTAAATTTAGAATTATAGCCTATAGGCTATAGGTATCGTTCAAGAACGACCAACATCGTATAATCTTAACAAACTAAGTAATGTGTTATAAAAGTGATTATAAAAGTGAGTCAAAGTTTTTGTGTTATAATACTATTATATTGTATGTACCTACACTTACGTAGTAATCTTTACCGTAGTGAAAATTAATCTTAAAAAATAATTACGAATAAAGGCGATTTATGCATTTGATTTAGTGAACAAAAATATAGATTTTTACAATTACATATTATGGTTAAATATTTTGAACCACATTTAATATTGAGGGGTTTTTAAATTATAAAAGGAGCAAATGATGTTTATTTTTAATATCTTTGGTACTTACGTCCTATTGATTTTGGCGCAAATGATATGTATAAATTATATTTTTGTCGCTTAGGTGCGTCATACAACCCTCGGGCCTCGGTCCGATCCAATGCCCATCGTCTTTTACGGTTTGTGTATAGTAAAATAAAATATATACCTACCTGTATACCCTATCATAATATTATCACATTATGGTATTATGGGACGTATAACAATAATATGTGTTCTGCAGGCGGAAGGCGTCACCGTGACAAATGATTCACAAACCGGCGATGATGTATCAAAAACATTACGTATCTCTCTCCCCCCTCTAACAAGGTTCAGTATTTGTGACGTATACACATGGGCTGTACCTACACGACCTCCCCATTACTATAAGCTTTGTGTGCCCATTTGGCCAGAAATAAAGATACCTACACATTAATAATATATATAATATATTTTAATTACATACAAAGAGTTATTATACTTATTCTCAATAAAAAAAAAAAACCAAGTATCAATAATATTAAGTACATTCTGTTTATATTTGTGTATATTGTCCACTGTTTTGAATTATAACGATATAGACACAAATTATAGCACATCAGTTGATGTACTTTTTTATTTAGAATGTTCTAACTGTTCTAAGACAACTGCAGGACACATTTTAATAATAAAATAACGTTTTAATCAAATTCGGTACGAAATTCTTATACAAATTGATTTACCGCATCATGGCAATTGTACTTAAAATTACAGGTCATAATATAATAATAAGAATATTTCGGTAAGGTATCAAATTAATTTCAAACACTAGATATGAAATTATTAATTTTATTGATTATTTTTTTATTTTATTACCCTACCATCATCTTATATTGTAAATAAAAATCTAAAACTATTATCGTTCATCACTAATACTTTTACAATTTAAACTCAGCATACATATATAGGTAATTCATATCCAGGAACATTGAATATTGGTTTAACAATATTACCTATAATATACGAATATACCTATACCTATAAACCTATCAATATAACTTGATAAACTCATTATTTTTATATAACAAATGAAGTTATCTGGTAGACTGTAGTACAATGTTCAATTCGTAAAAATTCTAAATAAATTAATATATGAGTTTGAAAGTACAATTTAATTTTTAGTTCAAGACTGTCAAAACCATAAATACTTAGTATAGTATTTTACTACGGTAAAAAACATTTTTAAATTAAAAATGTCTACCTTCACCCTTCAGGTTATAATGTTATATCACTTATATACTACCAATTTCAAAGAAATCTTAAAAATCGTTAGCCGGGCGCTTTTTACAAGCTTTTGAACTGTTTAAATGTTTAATACAGTAAACAGAGTTTCCTTTGAACATTTCACGTATTAAAATTATTACTTATAAGATTCATATAACATTCGGAGAAAAAAAAATGTTAGGCCCACAACACGCTGAACTTTGATCAAAATCACATTATACTATTTTTTTTTTTTCTTTTGAAATACAACATATTCCAAACATAACCGTATAAAAAAACCACCAAAAACCTTTCTATAATAGTTTAATCATTAAACTTTAATATTATATGAAAGTAATCCAACCAGAAATGTGACTTAAAATAAAACGAGAATTTTGAGTTGCAAATAATATTTGTACCGTCACATTTAATGTAAAAAACATACATTTTTAAAAATATATATTAATAGCAATACATTGTTTGCAGTAAATGTATTCTAAAATATTTTGCAATGAAGCATTATGTTTTTATGATACAAAAACTGCAGGGTTTACTCACATAGTAATATTATAATTTATAAATGAAACAATCAATAATTATTACCCAACATCAATGAACCAAATATATTTAAAAACTGAATGGATAACGTATTCTAGAACTAAAAATAGGCTGTGCGATAATATTCCCTTGTACCTCAAAAAATACAAGCTTATTGCATCCATCCAAATTGCGATAAGTCACGATTCGAACTGCATCCGTTGTTCTTTCTACAAGTGGAGCATAGAAGATCGAGCACATTGATAATTTTACGAGCTCTTATTACACTATTCGGTGTGAGTGTCGCGTATACAATAAGTTATCGGTAGTTTTTTTCCGATTTTTCCGACCCACATTGTGGCGTGGAGATAACTTGATTTAAGGTTAGTTGATCCTACGACGTTTGCAATATATTATATACATACATTTCTACTTGAGTAATCCCCGAGATCTGCGTATTTAGATAGGTGAGCTTCAGCTAGTGTGTGTGTGTGTGTGTGTGTGTGTGTCTATACGATTTCTTTTGTCTCTTTCTCCCTCCTTCTTCATCCCCAATATAACGTGCAAAATTTATCTTTTTTCCGATTACGATTTTATTTTGACCCGAACAAATGAACAACCTCGCAAAACTGTAAGGCGGCGTCGTCGGGGTTTGGTTTTGAATAATTCACGCGGCGTTTTACTGCACGGCGACTGGCCGTGAATAAAGATTACCGAGGTTTATCACGCAATTTATTATACAAGTATTACCGGAACGATATAACTGTATTGTTTTCTTTAAATTATTATTATTATTATTATTATTATTATTATTATTATTATTATTATTATTATTACTATTATTACTATTACTATTACTACTATTATTATTATTATTATTATTATTTATATTTTGAGGTTAGATAATATTATGTGTGTGAAGAACGGATGTACTGTACCGCCCACGCTGGAGGCACGCAGTCTCGATGCGACTGCCAATGACCGAATAGCGTTAGCCCCGCCGCCGGGTGGGTACCGTACGAATTACACCCCCTTTGCTCGTATCTATATAGTTCCTATATTATAACGGCCCCTAGGGCCTCCAAAGAATTATAGCTGCTAAATTACCCTTCTCCTTTTTTTCTCGTCAAAATACATTTTCCCCGTTCATTTCTATATAATATACATACTATATAACCACTAAGTATATATAACAATATACCGATTGCCTACCTGAAAACTATTATAATATTATATCCAAATATATATAACTAAGCATAGGTACCTACATAACTAAATAAAAAATTCAGAACTGTTAAGATTAAGTAATTAAAAAAATATAATACTTGGTGTAATGCTGATTAAAATAAACCTTAAAACAAAATTTAATTTATTAATAAGGTTTCAAATATATTTTTTTTGTATAAAAATCTCAACTATTTATATTTTATACATTTCCCGTTGAACATCTTAATAAACTAAAACGTTAAGTTAGTAATTTATTTGGCGATGTATACTTCGATCCATAACATAATAAGTTTATTATTGCAAGCTATGATTTACAAAATTCATGAATTATAATATACACTCTACCACTTACATTTCACTACAAAATTAAAGCTTAAATTAAATAAACCTTATTTACTTATAAATTGTAATTTAATCTATGTTCTGTTTCGTCATTAAAATAATATGGCTGTTATGGCTGATATGGATGAATTCCCAGCAGTTATTCAAAACTGTATTCAATCGCAAACGGCATTATATATTATACTGAATTCTCCATATTTATGATAATACTCAGTTACAGTAAGTAATAAGAACTAATTTTAATTAGTATTTAACTAATTTTTAACAAATATACGTAATAATATTATAAGATTTCGGGAAAGGACCCACGGCAATGATGTACCTAAAAAGCCTATCCAGAACGCCGTGTGATCATAATCATATTATTAAAATATATTTTTAATTTAATTTTAGAGCCGATTTTATATGAATATAAAATATCTAATATTTTTTGAGTTTATGCAGCTTAAAGAGGTAAGAAATTTAGACGAATTTCCCAATTTAGAATGCACATAAAAAAAGTTCATTAGGAAAATGTATGTAAATAACGTATAATGTATAATATAATATAACCAATAGAAAAAACTGTCGAGCTTACGTGCAACTAACGAAATCTACTCGCATTCAATGGCATTACATACATTTAATATATTGCAAATCATTGTTAGTTTACTAATTTCATTAAAATAAAATAACTTGCATTAATTTTATGTTTGACCGATAAAAATAAAAATGTGTGCCATTATTATTTTTAAGACATTTAAAATTAACAGAGTAAAAGTTGCTTTCAGGTGTATGATTGGTGGCTTCACGATATGTATCTTTGCAACCAATCTTCGTTGCCAGTCAACTCCAATCCTGGAATGGTATTTCCACCACTACCAAATCTTTCTGCAGAAACACAGATGGCCAAATTTTCAGCTAGATTTGTAGTTGAAATGATGAATTTTAAACGTATATTGGACAAGTAAATATTATTTTAATAATACCTTATATAGATTTTTCAATTTATGTATAAAACATACATTCTGTGTAGACGAGAGCTGCCTGTAGAAAAAGCTACATCTAGAGAAAAAGGACAACCGTTATGCATGGCACAATATTATAGACTAATGAAATCATATAGAGAACCAGGATTAGTTAAGGATCGACTTGTTGACTTCGAATCAGATTTGACATTATCAAGACCTCATATTATAGTTGCTTGCAAGTCACAGGTATGTCGTCTAAAGTAAAACATAGGTTTTGTTTACTAAGCGTGTGCTTTATTGTCTTAAGTTTTATGTGTTGCGATTGACTTCGGGCGAAGACGCAACTCCCATAACTGAGGAAGAAATTGTGACCAAACTACTGAACATTATAATGGACGCTAAAAAAACCGCCGGCACTGCGGGTACTTATTCGGTGGGCATTTTAACATCGCAAAGGAGAGATGACTGGGCTCATAGCAGGGAGTTGTTGATGAAAAGTGCTTCTAACCGCAATAATTTGGCATTAATCGAGCGTTGTTTATTTTTCATCAATTTTGATTTGGAACCACTTGGTCTGGAATTTAATTCCACATGTAAAGTAGGTGCAAAAGGCTATAGACTATCGAATGACAGAGATGAGACAAACATGATGCATCAAATGATCCACGGTGGAGGTAGTGAGTACTGTTCTGGCAACCGCTGGTTTGACAAGACTATACAAGTAAACAATACATAATAATAATAATAACTTATGCAATCAAAACTATATATTTTTGTTAAAACTTTTATTGATACAGTTGGTAATTGGAAGAGACGGTGCAAATGGATTATGTTACGAACATTCGCCATCTGAAGGAATTGCAGTTATTGAATTAATGGAAAAATTGATTAAAAGTACTAAAGACTTGAACGAACAATCAATGGACATAATGACATCAACAGAAAAACCAGAAAAACTCATATGGAGTGTTAATAATGAACTCATAAAACACATAGCTGATGCTTCTACTGTTTTGGACAAGTAAGATAATATTTTATTAAGTCGGTTATTAATATATACGTTACCCACAATAATATTAAATAATATATGATTTTAAAACCATAGAACTATTATAGTTCTATACACGTTCAATATATGGTAAATACTATATCTATACTCAATTAATTTTTTTTACCTAGGTATACGAGACTGTATACAAGTTTTTGAGCAGTCTTTCAATCAAAAAACAAATTATATATAATATATTTGTATAAGTTCCTCGCGTCGTATAACTCAATATTTTAAATGTACCTGTGCAGCTATATGGGCCTGTGACGAGTATATTTTTAAATTTCTGCTGGCATAATTAAATTATTAAACAAATCAGTATTTTTAGTTGGGTTCAGAAGCAAATATATAATTTTTTTTTTATATAGTGTTAAGGCTTAAATTTCTATGATCATTAGCCTGTAGGTCATTTAAGTAGGTTTATAACTGTGGGGGAAAGTATGGTTGTTTATAACACGTGTATATGTGGGATGGATTTGTTACTGAAACCCAGATGGTCACCCATCTAGGAACTAACACTGGCTGATGCTAAGTCTCAGGACGCGATCGTGGCTGATAACAACAATCGCATCGCAACCGGTCACAAATATTATATTCTGTTGCTTATATGGATGTACGTCGTAAGATTATATCAAAAACTATTAATTATTTGAATGAAATAATTATTAAATAAAAGATATGCTGCATACCTAAAAATATGTCTAAATGTTAAATTTATTAAAAAGCATTATTTCAAACAACATTCCAACAAATTTTATTAAATTTAAAATAATATCATATAACAGACTATGTTGTACACATATTATAATATGCAATTATAAATATAATTTTTTTATATAATTACTTATAATGTAATAATTGTTTAATATTTGTGTACTAAATATTTAGATTAGTCAAAGATTTAAACTTCCATGTATTCCGATTTACTCAATACGGAAAAGAATTCATAAAATCGTGTAAGATCAGTCCAGATGTCTATATACAACTTGCAATGCAATTAGCTTATCATAAGTAAGTACATAATAGTTTTTCAACGATACACCAATTAATTTTAGCTAATATTCTTATTACCTAAGTATATTTTTATAACTGATAACATTTTTAAACTATTTTTTTTTTCGAAATCCTAACAAACATCATACTATTGTGCTCGCTTAGGTATTTATTTAAAATATTAAATATATAAACAATAAAACTGTAAAATTATCGTAAGCTTTATGATTAATAAACTATCGATCTATGTTTACAGGCTTCACGGTAAACTGGTGGCTACGTATGAGAGCGCCTCCACCAGACGTTTCCGATTGGGTAGAGTGGATTGTATACGAGCGGCGACTATGGAAGCACTGGAATGGGCGAAGGCAATGAATCAGTCTGCCGTCACCGAAACTGGCATATTAGGCACAAAGAAGATATACTACACAGTGACTGATGTAATAATAATCTACTGAAATGCTGCAGTGCCGGGTGTCATCTGTATGAGTATATATGTGGCTTGGTTAGAGGTGACCGGGAAGGTAGAGGTGGGAAATGGGGATAAAGATAGAGAAGACATTTCTTCTGGTGACATCACCAAATATCAAACTTCATATAAGTACAACCGCAGTAATATAACTTATACAACACTAATAAAGAGAAGGTTTATGTACCGTGTACGGCCCACACTATTATGAGTAATAAATTACAAATTTTATATATCCCTGGAATGCAAGACAAATGTATTTATTATTTTAAAACGCACAAATGATTGTATAAGCGATAAAACTAAAGATATCATATTTATTATCAATATTATTAATAAGTTTAATACCTACCCATTATTAACTATCAATATACGTATTTATAATAAAATGTTAATAAAATAAATAAATATATAACCGATGTACAGTTTTAATATGTACACTGTTCTATTTGAATACCTTTAATACGTAACTACGTTATCTAAATTTCATAAGATACCTATATCATTTATTTAGTTATTTAATATTTTTTTTAAAAGGTATGACTATTCTTTTACTCATCGTAATAAAAGAGTAATTACTAAGATTAATAATTAATATGTATATTCTTATAAAATAAGCCACGATCTTGTTTAAAGAGAAGAGTAATCAACTCATATAAGAAACTTTATACATATAAGCTTGCACCGTAATATATGTTATACGAATTTAATTGAAATAAATTATTATTATTTTCAAATAGAAATGTAATATAAATACTTAGTTATACCAGATTGACTACCTAGTTTTGGACTAGGATAAATTTGAACAAATGTACTAAGTACCTACTTATCGAGAAAAAGAAGCCCCCGAAAAATTATTTTGTCTAAAATACCAAATAGTTATATAATTTATGTTTAGACAAGTAAAAAACAGTAATAACTCTAGGGATTTAGCTTTCTATCGGTCAATAGAAACCCAGACTTCGAATCCAGCTTTTCTCTTTTTCACCCAATCCTTGCCTTTTATAATACTATTCCAATAATAGACTTACATCGAATAACGGTCACTTTTCAGCTACCATTTAACAATAGTACCCGGATTAGGATTTGTCATACATCATAGGTATTATCTGTTTCTTGATAAATCTAAAAAGCTGAACCGGATACAACAGTATTTTACCTAATTTTATATATTGATGAATGGTATACGTCAGTAAGATTTAATAAAAAGAACTACCTATGTGGTGACACATCTCATACGAGTAATACGTAATATTTTAAAATTTTATAGTTCGATAAGTTAAATGAATGGTACGTTGTTGCTTATGCATAAAAAATCATACAACCATCAGATTAATTTTTAAGAGAAAGTATAACATTTTTCAGATGATAATGTTTAGTGCCACAGTTGACAACCACTTATAGAGATAAAACCGGCATTGCATTAATTATAACCATGTGTCTACAAAAACAGAGTGTACCTCTATAACTCGATACTTATATTACTCAGTGGTACCCTATGAATATTTTTGAATTATGTTTGAGAGAAATAAACTATTGGATCATACATTTCTGCGACTTGCAATAATTGTTTATGTCATGTATTTTGAGAGTTCGCAACAACTTCACTTTTTCTGTATACCTACCTTGTTTTCGTGGTCACATGGTATATTTAAAAATTCTCGTATTTTAAAACTGAATTCTGAGTCCCGCAAGGTCACAAAACAGGGTTCAGGATTTAATCAAATAAATTGTTTTAAAATTTACTATTTCGCATGATATATTTTAGAACGAAAAACTTCAACTTTTTGAAACTGCAGTAAAAAAACAAACTGACATCATGATAGACAATATTCTCGGGATGGGAATAGACACTCACTTATTAGGATTGAGACAAGCAGCAAGAGAAAATGCCATATCATGTGCAGTATTTGAAGACGATTCGTTTAGAATTGCCAATCATTTTGCATTATCAACAAGTCAAGTAAATTGTTTTATATTTTTTAGACCAATATACTATGTTAGTTGTAGTTATACTATGTTTTATAACAGTACTTTTAAGATTTTACGAATATTTATTTTATATTATTCTTTATTTAATGTATACGTTTGCCATGTAATCGAAACTCAAAAGTGTTTGAAAATTAAACACTCATTAAATGATAATAATTTATGATACAAATTATAACTATGATGTACCTATTTACCAATAATAAAGGCAAAGCAATTTTTTGTCGCCAAAACTAATTCCATTCATACATATCTGTCATAGGGTGAGTTGAGTTCTGAACTCATTAGTTTGAGTGGTTAAGTTTTTTAAAAATGTTAATTATTATACAAGTATCAACAAAATAACAATATAAGAATGAACTGTAACTCAATTGTTATATCATAAAGAATTAAAATCGTAAGCTTAAATAATTTGAGTCAAATATTATCAAAGTAGGTGCTATATTATAATATTATAAAATATTAAGCCAGAAAATGTTCATAATATTTGAAAATAATTTTCCATTTATCAAATTAAGTAATGCTTCGTAAAAAAATGGGTTATAAATAATTATCACAATAAAATAACCCAAACCGATTTTTATTAAAATTAGGAGTGTGCCTTACATTTCAATATTTGTTTGCAATTCTTCAGTAGTCTTTGATAGATAGATAACTTATAAATGTGACCTAACACAACCTATACTACCTGAATAGCTAAATTACATTTTAAAAAAATATTATTGTACATACAATCCAAATTAATTTATCCCTTCATCCTAGAATCTAAATAATAAAACTTGTTGCATTTTGATTATATTGACAATATCTACCTAACCAACATAGCATATTATTATTATCTGGTTTATTTTACCTCATTTACCCGCCATTTTTCTACTTAGTATACTCCTCGTAAAAATGTTAATTATTTTTTAATAGGTACAACTATGAAATAATATTATTTAACACAATAGTCATTAAATATGTCATAAGAAAATATTTCAGATACTTTGTAATTTGTTAATTGCCATTTTTTTATGTAGGGTACATATTTAATGTATGTGTTTGGGTTTTTATCTAGGTACCTACTGAAATTTAATGTACTATTTCGTGTTTTTATTTATTGTAGCTATTAACTTCCACTGACAGTTTCATGGGCTATGGACCAGTTGTGCCGGACGGCTATGGCGTTTCATATAATCCCCAAAGCAATTCTTTGGTATTCTGTATATCTTCGTTCAAATCATCTAAAACAACAAACAACAATGCTTTTACGGTAGCTCTTGAACAAAGTTTGATGACAATGCAGAAAATGATTTACATGAAAAGAAACTAAGACAGCGTTGTTCGATCATATTGTTTGCATACTTTTTTTGGATTTTTCTCATCTTATCTTTAGTACCATATACATATCTTTGAGTGATAAACTAAGTTTAATATTATATTTGTACAATCGTACTTTACACTTTGAAATTTTTAGTTACCACACTTAACTATTTATCAAATGCATTACAGTGCATTGCGTCGTTATAAATTTATTCATATTCTACCACATCAAAAACTAATCTAAAGTTTAAGTACTTGTTATTGTTTTATTTATTTATTTATTTATTTATTTATTTATTTATAATGTTACTGTTTTTTTTTTAAACTTATAAGTTATAACTCTAAAATTTATTTTTATTCGTTATACTAATTTTATTGAATTGTTGCTTTTTGCGGACTCCTCGCGATGTTTCAAGTGATTTCAATAATCAAACATGGTTGAATTATTAAAATATATAAGATTAAAAACATGGATTCTCATATACTTAAAATAAACGAGTTTATAAATAATTTTTTTAAAACGTTTATAGAGGTCTGTTAAAATTTTGTTTTAATATTAAATTCAAAATTATATTATTGTTAACAACTATATACATGCTTATTATTATTTACGTTAAATATTTTTAGTTATATTCATTATAATATAGTTAAGACACTAACTAGTCACATTATTGCTATTTATCTAATGTTATTTGTTATTTTTTTTTTTTTATATATGACGTATATTTACCATTTTGTGCCACTAGATAAATAGTATAGCTGCAATTATTTTCCTAAACAATACCAAGATATAATATTTATGAGAATATCCACACTGTATTGATCAACAGTTACCTACACTTAAAATATTTACCTCGAGTATAGTTATCTACACTTAAAATTATACTTAATACATATATCAATTCAATTTTCTGTAATCATTGAGACTAATTGTTTTGTACAAGTCAACTAAGAAAATATATCTATATCAATTCTATTTAAGTATAGGTATCTCTACAATATCATTCCTATTTTCTGCGATTAATTCATAATTATGTTAACTTAATACATATCAATTGTTTGAAATTTACATATCATTAACTACATTTTATCACAACGAGGTCATCCCTACAATTAAATAAGAATTATGTGAACTCGGTATAGGTACATATAAATTGTTTGAAACTTACATATCATTAATCATTACATTATATCAAAATAAAATAATTCTTAATTGTGATTAATAATTTTGTTAACTTGATACATATCAATTGTATGACATTTACATATCACTAGAATAACTCATAACATAATTTTACTGTTGGAAATAGTTTTTGTGAAATTGAAATAAGTTATTATTGTTATTAAGTAGATAAGTATATTTATTATTCACTATTATGTTTAAATGTTATTAAATTTTTATCAAATTACGATTTTAAAAATGTATTAGGTACTATATCTAATAATGATCAGAGTAATATTATTTTGTACATTTACTCTTAAAAAGGTAAATCGTACTAAATAATAAATAATGTATAATGTTTAAAATATTTATTCACTCTCTTCGTTGTTATATTACCTATATATTGTTTTTTAATATTTACAATATAGGCACCTACCTATGGAGGTAGGTACCCTACTAGTTAAGTAGTTAGAACACAATAGTGTTACTATATTGAAATAGTGTTATACAGTTTTTATATATTGTATCTGTACTCTTTAGACTATAGTTATTGATTCGTTATGTATTCAAACTTTTAAACTTTACCTATGTAATTTATTCTTAGATATCAATGTATGATATCACTCGAATGTTTCTTGTTGTTTATACTCTCAGCATACAAAATAATACAATTCGTATTGTGTATGTTTCTTTTAATAGGACCGGACTGGATTTAGATGGCATAATATACTAGGATTCCGTGAAAATATCTGTCGACATACCTACCCAACCATTGATTTATAATATAATTAAGGACTATGCAGTTCGCACTCATTTAACGATAATAAGTACCACATTAATACCCAACGTTTCATTCTACGAATAATTTACGATTTAGGATCATGGTACTTATACAGGTAGTTAATAGTTGTATAACATACAACCTACTTAATAACAAGATTTAGGTTTAATGTCTAAATTAATACTTACCTTTTGGCTATTATCAATAATAGTATGCAATATATATATATTGCAGGCGTGCTTAGACTTTATTTTGAAAGACTAAGCATTACAAACAATTGGGCCCTTTCCGTTATAAAAAAAAGCCAAGTACCTAATAAAATTACAATAATTGTTGTCATTAGACCATTAAAATATTCAATAAGTTCTTATCTTCAAAATATATATGTATTTATCAGCTAAAGATTAAGTCCTCTTTTACCGATTTTGTACTTGTTCAACATTTTTATCTTCGGTAATTATTAGAGGTTTTGAAAACCAACTGTTTAAAACTTTTAAATCTGTATTCTCCATGACGTATATATCTAGTACTTACCTCTCTATACTCTCTGACAGCAAAATGAAAAATAATATAAAACCATGAAATGTTAAATTACTCTGAAAAAATTAAAAATGTATTATGAGTTCTTTTAAAGGCTCTTCAAGAGGACAAATACGGGCAGTATATATAAAAGTCATAGATTAAGTACATTGGCATACTTTGCGTAGCTACCCCTCCTTGACAGCACTATTAATGTTCACCGGATTTCGTTATTATTCTGCTTTAACTTCGATACAATCTCTGATTATCATCAATACCGTCAATACCTAAATAATATAATGTACACTGTTACATACGGCTAAACCTCCGTAAAAATCCAGCTAATAATAAAATACTAGATAGGAGTAGTGCTGTAGTAGGATAATGAACACACATATTGAATGTGCTTGACTTTTTGATCATTTTCCACTGTTTAATGGGTCGATCTGTATGCCTAATTGTTATCCAGTCCGATCCTTTTTTGTGCTTAGACAAATACCTATTAATACGCTTTAGAATTGTTACTATACTAAAATCAATTATTATAACTAATTAGATAACAATAAAATAATCGTATCAGTCATAAGAGTTTGAAATTTTTTTCATATATTTTTATAGGTACCTATTCTACATGTCTGAATCAAGCACGTATTCGTGGTAGTGCATAAATTAGGTTATAAAGCGCTGCTAGAGAATGGATCTAATATTTGTATATCTTAATCTTTGAGGTGACCCCTACCAATTATTTTTATTGAAACGGAATGTCAGTACGTTCTTTTATAGACAAATTTTCAACATTATTTTTATTTCGTAGAAATTGTATTGATTCTCAAATTCAATTTGATAAGTTTTACAACTTATTATTATTTATTATTATACTACGTGTCCAGCAGCAATGGAATATACTCAAAATGTAATTTAAAAACAATTTTAACAAATTAACTAAAATTATCTTTAATATAAATCAATGAGTAATGACTATTGTTCAAAACATTTTTATTTAAATCACTCATAAGTATAAGCAGTCATTACTAGTTAATTATAGTAATTGTTTGTTTACGGATTGACGGCCGTGGATGTGTTCGCTCCCCACCGGATAGGTTTTGTTCAATAATTTTAAACAACACTAATTTTCAACGCTAAGGTTTTTATTTTTCCAATTCTATTATCAAGTGTCGTACATAAACTTGAAACGATATTACATGCTAGAAAAATAATCATTCTCTTATTGGCAATAAGAATTTATTTGTTTAATATGGACCATGTGGTACCCATAAACACCCTAAAATATATTGTTCGCCCATACCAAAAACATACCTATCTATGTTAAAAATAAAGAAAATAGGTAAGAGGACCTCTGGTGCTTACATGCTATATTGTTTCAAGTATAAAAAAAATTAATGAACTTTGGCACAAAAATTAAATTAATCAGCAGTTTCTCTGGTGTTCTGCACATAAATTGTTGTATAGTGAAAAAATGAAGTTTTTCTTGAAATATGAGATATTCTGATATCAGAACATCATGTATGGATTCAATTATAATAATATACTCACACCAGTCACACCTACAATTAATTTCAAAATGAATAAGTAATAACTTTGTTTATAAATTGTGATTATTGTAAAATGTAAATGTAAGTATCAAATTTCCATGCATTTCAGCACCATTGTCATCCACAGTCTATACCCAAAACACTTATATGTCTAGAGAGATTAACTCAATTCCATATTTATAATAATTATACAATTTATATTGTAGAATAAGCTCAGAGTCATCATTTTGAAGTCAGTCATAGTTGGTGTGTCGGGGTAATGTTTGGATTTTGGGTGAGTATTGTACATCAAGACCGTGGAGAAGGGATCAAAATATCAACAAATAGTAAAAAAGTGCATATAACTATCGCCTATGAGCACCCTGTGGGTGTTTGGCATATCATTGGGAACACATTCGATTTTTAAGGGGTTTGGTATGTAAGGATATTTTTATGACTTTAACTAAAATCAAACATTTAAACATTTGAATACAAATCAAAATATATAACTAATATAATATAATAAGTAATATTTCAGTAGTAAATACCATTGATAGCTGCTGCGTAATTACAAAATTGTACAGAATTTCGGTTCCATGCAAAAAAAAGGTTACAGTTATAGACATAGTACAAAAAGAAACCAAACTTTCCCAAAAAAAAAAAAACTTATGCTGTAAAATATTTTATTTCCCGATATCACTTAGGTGAAAAAAGTCAATCAAGTTCGAAAAACATACAAATAATTGATCTTAAAAAATTAATACGTTTTTTCATATAACTGACATTGATAATATTTTAAAGATATTTTTTTACTTATTTTACTATTTTTTTTCATTTATGGTAAAAATATGGTTTATTATTTGGTCACTGTTTATTAATGCATCAAGACTGTACCATTTTGCAATTTTTTTTTTTTAGTTAGAATTCCACATTTAATTTTTATAGGTAAGAATTGAAAATTTAAAACAAGGTTTCTCATAAGCAGTTCATATCATATAATATATATGGTTAATTATATTATAATTAACCAAAAATCTAAAAGATATACTATATATTAGCAATTGTAAGAAATAGTAAAATAAATTAATTTATTAGCAATTATAAAAAAAATTAGGTATGTGCTTAGTATAATAATATAGGCTGCCTCGCACAGAATCGTTTTTCGTATACAATGATTGTATATCATTATTCATTATGAATTCATTTTCAGCACATCCAATACAGTGACTCAATACCTGCAATACAGCTGAGCAATACTCATTTTTAAATCTTGGATCCAAATTTTGGGGAAATTAAATGTTAAAATTTAAAAAAATAAGAAAGTTAGTCCTAACTCTTAAGAAAACTTGACCTATGAGAAATTTAGCATGCAATAAAGTCAAAGGAGGACACTAAATGCTAATGAATATTAGGCAGTGACATAATTTGTATCTACATATAAGTTCATCATTTAAACTGAAGGGAATGTTAAATTTAAACACTGTACAAACAATTTAAATAATGTTTAGGAATGTTGTAAATACTTAACGTGAAACATTCACATAATTTTTAACATAAAACGAATTTTTTTTATTTAAAGCTCATCTTGTTAATATCGTTTATCTTTCGAATTGCTGAAGTATAAAAATACAGTACAAAATAACACAATATAATTTATTACATGAGATAAAAAATTGAATACTTAATATATTTAATAGGTACACAATAAAAATAAATTATTAAATAATAGGCATTAAAAATACTTTTACAATGATGTTGATACAAAGTTGTTGGAAATTAGTTCTATTCACTTAGTAACATATTTGATTAGTTAAAATGATCAATGAAACTATGCATTTGGATAGCTGTAAATATTTTAAATTCTACTAGAATATAAATACATTTTTTGTGTTTCATTAATCATTATTCGTTAGTAAATTATAAATGGATCGATATAACCTAGACCTATCTGTCTATATAAGTTTTAAGTCATTTATATACTCTTTTGACAATATAATATATATTATTATTATTATATTTTACTACTACCAGAATCAGTTTCTAATATTCAGAGACGTTAAAATATGTGATAATAATATGGGAATAGACGTATGTTATAATAAAGAGCTCTCAGGACGCATTTTCTGATTAAAAATAGCGCTGCTGTTGTTGATTGGTTACTTGTTGACGCCTAGTCGGTGAGAATTCGTTGATCGGTTGTCCAGATCGTTGTACCACCCGTTGTGCCGCTGGTTGTACCGCCGGTTGAATCGCTGGTTGTACCGCTGGTTGTTCTACCGGTTGTGCTCCCGGTTGCTGTTGGTACCTGATGCTGTTCAACTGTGCGGCATTCACATACCAAAACGGCTGTTTATCTCTGGGATACTGGTTTGTAATTCTATCAACCAGTTCTTTTTCCACGTTGTATATTGGCTGCTTTTCCGAACCCAGGAATGGGTCAGGAGTAGAGTTTTCGCCAATCCTGTTCCCAACATCTGAATTATTTGGTAGATTTTGGGGTAAGACACTTGGATACTGATTACTGCTTGATGCATAAAATGGCTTTTGGGCACATATGCAAGTGAATAATACTCCAAAAACGATGGACAATCGTAGCACACTCTGAAAAATTTTAAAAACAATTATAGAAAAATAACTTATAGATAAGAGATTTACTAATAAGACTGGTTAGAGCCAGGAGTATTAAAGGCAAGATGATTTTCATATTTTCATTTAACTGAACTATTATATTTGCCCCTGCATCAACCCTTGCCCGTGCCCAATATTATTTTCAACGAAATAGTTAAATCTGTCATGAACTAAACAATGTTTTTATTTTAGTCTCCAAAATATTAGTATAATGTAGTGCTATAATATTGGTGCTATAGGTTTTCAAAACTGATAAATGAAGTACCTACTACCAACATTTTTACTTACTACATTTTTAATAATTGGGTACTTCCAATTTAAATATTACAAATAGACTAAAACTGCTAAAACGGAAATCATATGAGAGTGTAAGATCAATTCGTATCGTCTTAAATGTTGTTAATAAATTAATATAATATTCTGAAATTATAACCGGTTCGTCAATAGCCAACATAACTGCAAAGTATTTTATACAGAATAGTTAAGGACTTGCACCGTATAATGATGACCCTATAATAATTCTATACCCGTCCAAGTGCGTCCAAATATGTATATGACTACTATAACATTATCCAAGGTCACCACAAGGAAGCAAACTAAGCTAAACCCAAATTGTTTTTTTCTTTATATTTTATCGTAGCATAATTATATTTTCTTCGTATGTGTTTAATTTACATATTGCAAAGAAATGTTTAGATGATTTTTACAAGTTATCATTATCTTTACTACATCGACTTTTACTAATTAATATCTCAACATTCAAACCTTTTTTTTAGCTTGTTAGCTATACAAATTAAGCTGGGAGTTAAAATGTAATGCACCTATTCTTGCATAAAAACAGTATAATAGGTTTATTATTTGTCTGTATACTTATATAGCCCATGATGCCATAATCACACCGCTTATTTCTAATAAATGACTAATGAGATGCAACTATATGGAAATCGCCAATTGGATGGTTTTTTTTTTGGGGGGGGGGGGATTCATTCACAAGGATATGAGCATACAATGGATAAAAATTATAAGGGCTGCTCTAATTTTCAATATTTATCTCCGCATACAACGAGCTGCATTATATATTGTGTCCCATACGAGATTATTCAAAATGTATTTATTCGTATGTTTTTTTTCTAATGAAATTCTCTAATACAATAGGCAACGTCAATTCGTCATTGCGTTTTTATGATATAATAAAAATGGGGTCGACTGTTTCTGCGCCTATACTCAAAAACCTGGATTGCGCCTAATAAAATTAAAATATGCACAAATACTTGTTAAAGGCCTAGTTACATTACAAATCAATTAATTTGGCAACGCTTAGTTCATAAAGCGTGATTTGATGTTATATCAAATTGTATCCAAATATTTCCATTTTTAACTACTGTGCGACGCGACGTGGGGAAATTTAATTTTTATACCTATCTGTCGTGATTCGACATAATCATACGATCTAACTGTGCTTCTTTGCTGTTGATCATTTTTATTACCCCGATAGTCGATACCTACGATACACGACATTTCTCAAACGCTAGTCAGTCGTTGTCGTCATACTTCACATACTTAATTCTGTTTGATGTAATTTTTTTTCAAAAAATGCAAGTAAAAATGTTAAAGATTTATTAATTGTTGAAAGTTTTAAATGTAGAAAATTGTATGAAAGTTTATCTGGTAATGTAACGTGGCGTAGTACAACGAAATCGTGTTTAGCAAGAATAATAAAAATGGAAATGTAACTGTAAGTAGCAATTTAAATCACAACCATATTAATATAATACTGGTGAACAAAATTAAATCATCAACACATTTGGAGTGCGTGTAAAAAAGAGCCAAAGACATGACTCCATTGGACATGATCGTCCAATTAAAACTATACGTTCTAAAATTACAAAGAATAGTGTCGACACGTTAGATTAATCAAATTAAATTAAATTAATTCGTGATGGAATGTAAGTATACCCGCGTAGAAACATGCAAAAAAATATTCCAAAAAATATTCTTGAAGTTCAAGAATTTTTATTATCAGAAAATCAATTTAAAGGCGAATGGATGATTGCAATACATGACATAGAATACATAGAAAAAATATTGTAATTTTTAAGCGTAATACAAGTGTACAGTTTTTTAAGTTTGGTACAAATTTACTTCCTGCACACAGTTTTTTCTGTCAACTTTTTACAAATCATGGATTTTATAATAATCATTACATACCTCTGGTATTTTGTTTGTTAAAATAAAAATATTATGAAGTCTATGAATATGTATTTGAAAATATTAAACTTTTATGTTTAAATCTAAACTTTGAGTATTCATATGTTGAAATATATTCTGTTTTTTAAAAAGAAATAAAACTTTCTGCCTACAGATTTCACTTGGGACAATGTTGGTTCAGAAAAATTCAAAATCTTGGATTAACAAATATATTTAAATCTAATAGTCCAGAAGGAAAATGGTTACAATATTGTTTTAGTCTTAGATTTTTACATCCACTAGAAGTACCAGATTGCTTTTTGGAACTAATGTTGGAAATTTCAGAAAGAAAAAAAATACAATTATATGCTGGTTATTTTGTTGACAATTTTATAAACGAAAATAGTGTATTTTCTCTGAACAAAAGAATGTAATAATCAAACACAGACAACAAAAGCATGTGAATCATTTCATAAACATTTTAATTCGTTATTTTCTTAATGCTCATCCAGCAATTGTAAAATGTGTGGAAGTCTTAATAGAATTTCAAACATATATGTATTTAAAAATAAATCTTGTTAGAACAACAATAAAACAAACAAAAAATAAAGCAGTTGTAAAAAAGCACCAGGATATCAAGAAATTAAGATACATTGACATCACAACTTCATAACAATTATTAGGTTAGGAAAGTCAAAGTAACAAAAATAATTTAATATGACGCAGCAGAACAGTGAAGTCTTATTTTTAACCACACCAGAATGATTCAATAATTATAATATATTTTATTCTTTCAGTTCGAAGTCTAAGACGAGAAATTTAAGTTTTACTGCGATGTTGTCAAATTTATTGATTTGTAATATAACTGGGCGCAAACAAGTATTTTAACGTTATTTAATTTTAGTAAGCGCAATTGAAGTGTTTGTGTATAAGCTCAAATTTGGTATTTAGGCACAAACACGGCCTTCCCTATATATGCGTCTGTCCCCTACACACAAATGTCATGAACCTTTTAGTACTACGTAAAAATTACGACCTATCAAAGTTACATTCTGATTTCAATTCCATTATGTCCTCCATATAACTTCACTCCAATCCACAATAGTACAATATTATTATAGTTTATCTTTATAAATCACGATACCAATTAGTTGTGACTTGTAACTCTCTATGTACCTATACACCTGATATAATATTATACATTACACAACCAAAATTAGTAGTTAGTATCTACAACCTACTTATATATATTTATAAATAAATACTAACTATAAGTGACCACTGCATTTATTATTGCTCAGATTTGTTCTGTAATATACATTAAGTAGGCAATTATTTTAAGACAAATCGTAAATAACAATTTAAAAACAACCATTTACCTAGTTATAATACTAACCTTTGAATTTCTTAGTTAAATTATAACCTTTTAAGCTTATCAAAACGGACAGTCGGTAATTGGGCCACACTATTTGTTTATATTTTATTAGCCGGGGATTGAGCCACAAATCTATAATACCAAAATATACCACCTATAACATTTTATTAATTACAACAAGTACCTTTATAGTTTTAACATTTTGTTAAGACTATAGATAGGTACATACCTGTAATAAGTAAAATAATTTTTTTTTAAACTATTATTCTAAATAGTGCAATATAAATTTCACAAATTCAAAGGTTCAGGTTTTTCCATTTTTCGTATTTTTTAATTTTGTTAAGAATATGATTCGTTATCTACCTTTTTCGTTTCTACGCATCTAATTTTACTGTAAATTTCTAGTGGAAGCTCCACTGTTTAAAAGATTCAATAATAAAAATTGATTAAAACAGTAGACCGTAGTATCATAATACGTTTTTGAAAAAGGTTCATTGTGGTTCAAATCCCGAGCACCTATCAAAACATTTCACCCGAGAGTGTACAATAGTACATACATTACATTAATTTGTTTAAAATAACAACAATTACAATGCATTACAATTCATATTCCTTTCTTAAATCATGTGAATCAAATATGATAATGTTGACAGTTTATAGCTATATTTTATGATGTATTTGTTAATATAAAAACGATATTTACCATTTTTCTGCAGGTTAGCTCAGAAAATCCTCCAAATGAGCAATAAATATTTGAGTTACGGTATGTCGAATTTTGAAAAATATTAGGATTATTATCTTAGTTACACTTTTTCAATACAACAATATTGTTTATCGCGACGTAGTACGTAGGTAATGCTAATCGGTAAACATTGACCACTGACAGGTTTTAAGAATTTGTGAACTGATGTTCAGCAGACAGAATAATTTATACGTTATTATACTCTGGAATGGTAGGTAGGCGGGTAGGTAGGAAGGGTACGTCTCAAATCCCCTCCCACGTCTATAGAGTTATAAATCCAGTACCTGGGTTATACCTACCGTATAATATTATAACAGTTGGAGTAGTCTTCAGTAAACACGCATTAAACATGAATACCTGATTATTATAAATTATATACTATTATTAATTTTATGAACATGGCAAACGTCATCGGAAAAACATAAGTAATGCTTCCGCGCTTAATCAATTGTTTAAAAACAATAAAAAGTTATTTACAACTAAATATATAATATATACAAATATATTTACAAAGTATATTTATTTATTATCTAAATACAATGTACCTACATATTTTTACTATTTTGCTAATATAAATTACTCATTCATAAATGAGATGATTTAAATAATATATTTCCTCTGAGAACGAGTCAAAAGTCAAAACTATTTTACAAAATTACTTTTAATATAAGACAATACCTATAACATATTTCTATTAATTATTATTCTCTACACAAATATTACCATTTATATAAAAATATCAAACACAATCTCATAGTTTAATTAGTATTTAATAATACCCACTAAAAAACCAATATTCCAGAATTCTGAAATTTCTGGTTCTTTAGATTTCAGAGGCCATACATGAGTATTATTTTTCAAAATATACGACACAGATACGAATTATATAATAATGTACAGTAATGTTATTTATAGTATGATAATTATGAATGTAATAAAATAATAAAGCAGCAAGTAACAAAATTACGTTACAAAATAAGATGTATTTGATAAAATAAATAAATATTATAGTATTTGAATTAATTACTCGAAATTATTAAGACTTTGAAATTAGTTAGTTACTTAAGAAGACGTGATACCCGCATGTGTTGTCTCCGTCTTACAAGTGCGTAACATAGCAAATTGTACACTCAGCAGAACACGTGTAGCTCCGTTAATTTAAAAATTAAAGTGAATTGACCTCTTATAAAATCTAAAGGTAAAATTATTATCTAGGCAACCTCATATGCTTTTTATTAGATTTTTATTTTAACGCGAGTTATAAGTATTTTAAGATGTATAAAAAATTTACAATTTTAAAATACTCATAACTCGAGTTAAAATTAAAATATTATAAAAAACCTATGAGGTTGACTAGATAATAATCTTACTTTTAGATTTTATAAGAGGTCAATTCGCACTAATTTTTAAACTAACGGAGCTACACGTGTTCTGCTGAGCGTAAAATTTGCAATGTTACGCACTTGTAAGACAGAGACAACACATGCAGGTATCACGTCCTCTTAATGCTTGCCTAATGTAATTAAATAGATGTAGTTAAGTTATTTTGAAAAAATAAACTCACTAATTTATATTTTGTGATCCAACTTGAATATTAGGCATGCTTTTAATTAAAAAATTGTGGAACTGTGATAAATTAGGTTACATAAGTGAATCCGATGAGTGTGTAACTGTAATAAGCCCTAAAATTCGATCAAAGGAAAAAAAATTCTTATTTAATAGAGAATTGTACTTAATATAGTTACATACATTTGGGGGTTACATCCGAGTTGGGCCCCAAATTTGAATTTGCTATACTAGTTGGGTCCGGGATTATTTTAGGTATTATTTATAGTTTTGGGTCCTTAATACTTTTTGGTAAGTACTACACTATAGTGACTATACTGACATTGACCTTCCCATTTTAACAGACTTAGGAGTCTATTTAAACCAAAGGTGTGGATGTGTGGTAAAAATGTTTTTACAGTTTCTTTGCTATTACAAATATAACTTATAAGAATTTTAAGAATTATGATACAACGTAAATATACCCTAACCGGCCTAACATAACAAAACCGACGGTACAAAAAAAATATATTAAATATTTTAAAAATAAAAATATATTTAAAAAAATATGCATTTTATCATATATTATGAGGTATAAAAGTAAAAATAAGATATTGTTTAGAAAAAATCACTTGTTTGTTGATATAAATGTATACAACATTGATCCTTAGTATTGTACCTATTATATGTGTATTATGTATATCATAATAATTTGTCAAATTCTAATAATTTATATCTTTAATAGCAAAGAAACTAAAAAATGAAACTATATTTACTGTTTTGAAAATTATGTTCAAGTGTTTCAAATTTAAGAAACTTTAGAAAAATATAGAACTTCAGAAAATGTTGATTTATGTAAAATGTATTATTCATAGTTAAATTAATTCATTTAGTAATATATACTTATGAAAAATTTGATTCAGTTTCTATAGAAATTCGAGCATATAATGATTAACGAACACAAATAGCTGATTGGCATGAATTTATTATTAAGTAGATAGATAGAAAATATAGATAAGATAGATAGTTATATGAAAACAGTCAAGCATGTAAATAATTTGTAATACAGCTGTGCACAAAGTTCCGTGTTTTTCCAATGACGTAATTATATGATCGTGTTTTATATCTTGAGATGGGCCAATATTATGAATTTATTAAAATGCAAATATTTATACATGAAGACTGACGATCGCCCATACCTATATGGCTATATGCCTATATTTAATATATTAATGAGATGGAAATATAAAACTGTACCCATTATGCCTTGTATGCAAGTGTATGATTATTATTTAAAACAAACACGGATAATATAATACATTTATCTTGGCAGTTATTCCGTTATTCATTTATATACTCGTATTCATTTATTTATTTTATATATAAATGTATAGTAATAAAAAATAATGTATAATTATACCTAAGTACCTATATCAAACAGTTTACATGGAAAACATGTGTTTACGGGTAGTATTTATTATAACGTCAGTAGTTTAAAAAAAAAAAACATAATAATATACATAAACAATATACATATAGGTAGGTACTATACTATATGTATAATAAAATATTATGTGTCAGTAAAATTATTACTATAGAACACCGGCCGGGACACCGGTAAAACCTAAGTTCAGCCAACTGATCTTGGTTATTATGGGAATTCCGCACTTTTACCAAATGGCCTAGAATTTGTATTAAAAACTCGAAATTGTCTTATTATGAATACCTAATCAATTTCTTGTGAAAAGAGATGGCGATTGATAAATATTAACATAATATTATTATCATACAAAAGTGAAACGGTTATCCGAATGTTCAATGTTAAAAACAAAGTGATAGGAAGTGTTAAGATTAACTGGTTTCCATTCACTTAACTTTCTGAAGATATATAGAGTTGAATAATACGAGGTATCAGATAAGTATTTTATTTATAGGTAGGTAGTAGGTACCTATTCTTAATTGATAAACAATGATGCATTTTAGCATTTTGAAAACAATGACAAGCTTAACTCTGATTATTATTTAATATTTATTGTACATTGGTATTGTAATTTGTAACTATTACAGTAGTACCTAATTTACTTTGGTGTTTAATAAACTGTAGGTGGAAACCAGTTAATCTTAATACTTCCTATCACTCTGTTTTTAACATTGAACATTCGGATGTTTATCATAATAACCGTTTCACTTTTGTATGATAATAATAATATAATATTATGTTAATATTTATCAATCGCCATCTCTTTTCACAAGAAATTTATTACTCATATTTTTAGTTATAAATGTTGACAGAAGTTGAGTCGGGTCATGGCCCATGGGTGCTTTGGGTGGGCCTCACTTGTATCGAAACTGACAACATAATATAACTTTAAAAGTATGAGGTACCTATACCTACGTATAATGTTTTATGAATATGGTATGATCTCTTAAATTACTTTTTTATAGCTAAATATTAACTATTTTTTACTTTGACATAGTATAACCTACTCAAATAAAATTATCAATTATGTATCACTAATTGTGTTTTTACCCTCTATAAATGATAATTTTTGTGCACACACTTCTGGGTTACAAATTTTGTATCATTTAACTCGTAAGACGTAAGGTAATTAACTATAGGTTCTTATATTATTATATTAATTGTAGTTGCCACGGATCCATATAAAATTGATCACCCCACCAACTGATTGACCGACAGTTGTATTTTGATATTTTTCATATAGGTACCGTTACAAAAAGTTCAAATAAAAATTGATTGTTTACAATTAATAGTAGATACTTAGTGCCTAGTGGCATATATTTTAACCGTCTTATTAAAATCTCATAATTGCATGTAAAAGAATAAGATAATGTTATATAAAGATCCTTAAAAAGTCACACAACGTACCTATTTTTTATTTTAAGTTTTAAGGTTTTAACGATATATTTTTGCTGTAAAAATCGGGTCTATGTCAGGCAATGTGACCACCTGACCACAATAACAATACCACTTATTGGGTGGCCACTTCGCCCGAAACGAGCCCATAAAAAATATATGCTCTATGTAGGATCTGATCTACACAGCTGAGCATATTCAAACAAACCTAATTTGAAAGCTTAGAAGATTCTGATCATCACTATTACCTACAACGCTAAATTTAGACCCAATAATAATTTATCTATCATCGAAAGTATTCATCTCTTCCCTAAATCAGTGAGGTCAAAATTCGAAAAAATCATATTAAAACACAAACACATCATATATATAATTAGGCAAAATAATAATGACTGAGATGACAATTGACAGTGATAATAATTTGCAACAACAACTCTGAGGTCCCACACGTTTGTAGCGCTTTAACAGAGGACAAAACTCAAATGGTCACTATAATATTCCGACACTGGTCACTTCATCAATATTTCCCCTAAATTGAGGTCAATTGGTCAAATCATAAAATGTGCACATTCTCCTAGATCGGATACAAATAAAACCCGAGTTACTACACTGCAGGCTAAAGAAATAATAAATAATTTTCGTACTTTCAATGAATAATTTCTCTATCTTAACTATACCTACATTAAGTTATTACTTAAATTAAATTAGAACAATGTAAATTCTATATTTAAATTAATACACGCATTAAATAAATGCAATTAAC